TTTTTTTTTGAGACAGAGTCTTGCTCTGTTGTCCAGGCTGGAGTGCAGTGGCACAGTCTCAGCTCACTGCAACCTCCGCTTCCTGGGTTCAAGCAATTCTTCTGCCTCAGCCTCCCGAGTAGCTGGTACTACAGGCATACACCACCACGCCCAGCTAATTTTTGTATTTTTAGTAGAGATGGGGTTTCACCATCTCTTTGGCCAGGATGGTCTCGATCTCTTGACCTCCTGATTTGCCTGCCTTGGCCTCCCAAAGGGCTGAGATTACAGGCGTGAGTCACTGCGCCTGACCGCTTGCTTGCTTGCTTTAAATGAAAATGAAATAATACAACAATATTTTTATTTTATTTTTTAATTTAATTTTTTGAAACAAGGTCTCACTCTGTCGCCCAGGCTGGAGTGCAGTGATGCAGTCTCAGTTCACTATAACCTCGGCCTCCCAGGCTCAAGCCATCCTCTCATCTCAGCCTCCTGAGCAGCTGGGACCACAGGCGTGCACCACCATGTCTGGCTAATTTTTGTATGTTTTGTAGAGACAGGGTTTTGCATGTTGCCCAGGCTGGTCTCAAACTCGTGAGTTCAAGTGATCCACCCGCCTCGGCTTCCCAAAGTGCTGGGATTACAGGCATGAGCCACCACACCTGGCCACAATAATATTTTTAAATGCCTGCCTAGTACTCCAGTGTACGATTGTATTTTGTTTATTTAGTCCAGTACTGTTCAACCATTTTTCCTTATTGAAAGACACATTTCATGACCCTCAGGTACACAGTCCAGTCTTGTGGGAATAGCCAGTATATTTACAGTTCTACTTCACTCCCATTCATCACGCAGACATCTGAGTGCTTACGGTGTCCCAGGCCCTGTGGCTCTCATGGGGAGTCAAACACACACTGCCCCCTGCATATTGGAATGCAAGTGGGAACAGCAATGTGATCATAGTGGTAACATACATATACTCAAATTCATTTGTATGTATCATTAACAAATTACAATTTTAGTATTGGTAACCGGTTACCATGTTTGTAACTCATTTTACAAAGAAAACAACAATGGGTAACCAACACAGATGTAAATGATTCTCTATTATTGAATGACTAAACTGTTTTCTGTGTTTCTTTGTTACAAAGTTTCTCAGGAACTGGTTTCTAGGAGCTTTGTTAGAAAAACAAACCAGCCAATCAAACCACAGAAAGCTCCTTATGTGCTAACATGAGAATGGTTCTAAAATACATTGCTAACCGGGGTGCAGACAGTGTGAAAGTTATGCCTCTGTCTGGGTAGGCAGGGAGAAAAATATTTTGTATAAATACATATACATTAAATGCTTACTATATACACATGATAGTAGGAATGTTGATTGGCTCCAGAGAGTAAAACTGAGTACCTGGAGGAGAAGGGGTGGAGAAAGACTATCCCCTGTATTTTTAAAATTTTGAACATATCTATGATACATGAATTTTTTTTTTTTTTTTTTTTTTTTTTGAGACCAGGTCTCACTGTGTCACCCAGGCTGGAGTGCAGTGGTGCAAACACGGCTCACTGCAGTCTTGACCTCCTGGGCTCAAGTAATTCTCCCACCTCAGACTCCTGAGTAGCTGGGAATACAGGCACGCCACCATGCCCAGCTAATTTTTTTATTTTTAAATTATTATTATTTTGTTTCTTTTTTGTGTTTTAGGTACAGAGTCTCACATGTTGCCCAGTCTGGTCTTGAACTCCAGGGCTCAAGCAATCCTCCTGCCTCGGCCTCCCAAAATGCTGAGATTTCAGATATGAGCCACCAAGCCTGGCCCTGTGATTTTTTTAATGCAAATATGAACATATTATCTATGCAAAAAGTTGTTTTTGATAGCAAATCAGCCCCAGGCCACATTCTCCATCTAAAGGAGGACTTTTAGTCTCAGGAATAATGAAGAACTAAACACATGCCAGACACCTAGCACACCTCGATTCTCGTGGCTGTTGGTAGCACTGGAAAAGCCGTTCCTTGATTCGCCGCTTATCCTCCTCCATCACCTTCCTTTTGTCACAGCCCCGGAGGTTGACAAGGGTTATAGCATCACAGAGAAGTGCATCCTTTACCTCTTGATCAAGGCGTGAGTCAGTGGTAAAGCTTGGAGAATGGTTTACCTGCCAGGAAGAGTCATTATACACCCCTTTCCCTGACCACCTGAGCAGGTGGTGGCCTCTTGCAGGCATAACTAGAGGGTCTGAGATATTCCTCTCCCATGGCCTCAGCCAGGAAGGCTGGATGCTCTGGCTTCCAAAGCCACAAAACTCTGCCTTAGAGATCTCCAATTCACAGACCAGTGAGAGCAAATCAGCTGGCCTGCCTCTCTAGATAGTGTGTCCCTAAAAACTTACATTAGGGCACTGGGGATCCCAAACCTGCATTCCTATGGTAGAGGCCAAAAACCACCAAGATTTGACTCAGCAGGTCAAAAGGGTAGAGATCTTATGCCTTCTGCTGATTCCCACCCACCCCAGGGCTTTCACCTCTCCCATTCTGTGTTCCACCACCGGAGTATACCCCTGTCCCAGGTGTCCTATTCAAGGAGGCCTCTGGACCTTGGTTTTGCAAAGCCTAGGAGATAATCCTCACCTCTAGCAGCCAGGGCTTCAACTTGTGGTCCAGCAAGATGTCAAAACCAAGGATCTCAAAACAGGCACATGTACCTCCATTCAGATACTGGGGAAAACAGGTTCGGTAGTTGTGGCGTAGAACAGAATGGGCTGAGATGATGGTTTTGATGATGATGTCCTCGATGTCCCCCCACAGCTCTCCAGGGTTGTAGCTGTGCTCTTGCAGCCAGATGTTGAGTGTCGACAGCTTCCTGCGAGGCCCAGTGCTCAGAGGAAGGCCAGTTTCTAGGCCACTGGGGCCAGGCTGTAGGCAGGAGGCTCCCTCACACTAACCCTAATTGCATGCCTGGGCTTTGAAGGGCTGCTAGCAGTTTGGAGCAGGGACTAGTTACCAGGGTGGGGTTTGGGGCTGCACTTAGAGCTCCAAAGTGCAGGCACAGGACAGGGTCTATAAAGGCTGAGTTTCCCTGGGCAATTAGCCTCCCAAGAGCCAGCTCGGTTTCATGGGCTACTGGGACTATGGGGCTAAGCGGCAGAGAAAGCAGGAGAAAACAGAGTAGCGAGTACCTCTTACTGCCCACAGCACCATCCCGGACAAAATTCTCATTGTGTTTGTTGATAGCATAGTTGGTCAGGTGCATGCAGACATTGTCCTGTGGAGAGAGAGTGGCCCTGTGGTCTCAGACTGCATGTGGCCGTCCTCTCCAGCCCTTCATTGCCTTCTTACTCCCCACCCCTCCCAAGGATCTCTTGTCTCCTGTCTCTCTCCACCAGAGGACTGCTATTCTGGACGATCCTGGGGCAGAGGGTGTGCTGGGCTCCTCCAGGTGCTGACCTTTTCTCATTTACCACCTACCAAACACTTGCCTCCCAGCTAGATACTGCAGCTCTTGCTGACTTCATTCCTTGTTCTTTGGTGACAGTGACAAACCTCTCTACCATGTTTCTCTAGAGAACCTCAGCACTCATGGTAGTGGAAAAGAAGAGTGCTTCCCAGTCCCCTTACCAGGTTGTTATGGCTGGGCTCCACATAGGGCGTGGTGGCAAAACGGGCCAGGCCCTCCTCATACATGAAGATCCGGAGAGGGTCACAGGATGTGATCAGGACGTAGATTCTCATATCAAACTTGAAGCCATCAATGAGGAAGGGCTGGTAGCACGCAAACCCATGAGGGAATAATAACACGTTTGAAGTGCCTACTATGAGCTGTTGTAAGTGCTTCACATACATAGCTCATTAAATTTCCACAATAACCATGTAAAGTAGTTACTGTTATTACTCCCACTTAATAAATGAGGAGAGGCCAGGCGCGGTGGCTCATGCCTATAATCCCAACACTTTGAGAGGCTGAGGAGGGTGGATCACGGGGTGAGGAGTTCAAGACCAGCCTGGCCAAGATGGTGAAACCCCGTGTCTACTAAAAATACAAAAATTAGCTGGGCATGGTGGTAGGTGCCTGTAATCCCAGCTACTCGGGAGGCTGAGGCAGAGAATTGCTTGAACCTGGGAGGTGGAGGTTGCAGTGAGCCGAGATCGTGCCACAGCACTCCAGCCTGGGCAACACAGCGAGACTCTGTCTCAATCAATCAATAAAGAGACAGAGGCACAGAGAGGGTAAGAAACTTGCCCAAGGTCACATATCTGGGAAGTGGAAAGCTGAGATTCAACCCCAGGCAGGCTGGTTCTGAACCATGGCTGGATACTGCTTCCAGGAAAATGGGGCTAGTGGGAAGGGTAGAAGCCTAAGACCAGCTTCCTTCCTGGCTTTTGGGAGAGACGAGGCAGCCCAGTGCTTAGTGTTGGGGAAGGCTGATGGTCCTGAGGCATCTTTCACCTTGGAGATGTATTGCTGGCAGATCATATGCTCTCCTGGCTTGATCTCCCGGGGATTTCGGGTAATGAAGATGCCACGTCCCTGACAGCCACTGTCTGGCTTGCAGATATACGTGCGGGCTTTTCGCTGACGACCATAGGACTGGAAGTCCCCGTAGCTATGTGTAGAGAAGGCCTGGTCAAAAGGTTTCTGTGTATCATGGCTTTCCCACGGCCCCATGGAGCTCTTCCTGCTATCTAGTCCATGCTCTTCCTGGAACACTCAGTCTCAGACCCTCTTTTCTTTGACAAGCTGAAACTTTCTCGTTCCACTTCCATCCCTCTGAAACATTCCTAGGTCACAAGACCAGAGCCTGGAGGGAACTCTGAGAACGACCCTTTTCCTCCCCCTGGTATCTCAGCATGGGAAGCCAGACCCACTCACTCTGCGGGGAGGCACCAGGTGCGGGGGAAGATGTTGTATTCAGAGGGATAGAGTTTGTGCATGCGGTTGAGGTTCCGAGCCAGCAGATCTTTGCGGCAGATTTCTGTCATGCCAGGGAAGTGGTTGATTTTCTGAAACACAGCCAGTTAGTACGAGCCCCCAGAGTAAGTGGCAGTTCCTAGCACCTGGGCATCCCAGGAAGCAGTGGAGGAGGATTGGGAAGGTTAAGGGAGAAGTCACAGTGGAGGTAAGCACTGCATCGAGGACCCCAAGGGCAAAAATAGGAAGATTCCTTAAGGCAGGTGAGAAAACCTTCTGTGACTCCTACCCAACACACACATCCACACTGAGCTCAGCAAATGAGGGGCAGTGAGAAAGGATGTACCTAGCCAAGACTGTGGCTTCCACAGTCCACCTTCTAACATCCCTCAGACCCCCAGGCCTAGTCCTCTAACAATAACTAATGCATGATAGCATAAAGCAGACAATGAGACAAAAGCATTTCCCAAAAGACACAAAAGAGAAAAGGAAACTAAGAACCAGCCCCAAGGAATGTGGTGCCATGGCACCCACAGAGGGTGTGGCATTGCCCTGGTGCCTGCCAGAAACACCTGGCTGCTCTGTCCTGCCGGGTGGGTGGCAGCATCCGGGATGCCACCAAGCAAAGAACAAATAATGAAATAGGATGTGTCCACCAGACACTTCCTTCAGGTAATTCCAGAGACCCAGGAGGAGAATCTTTCCATTGGAAAAGAATACCCTGGGGGTGGTCTTTCCTGTCTGCACAGGGGGACAATCACAAAGAGTACACTAAATGCTCTCTCACTGGCTTTCCCAATCACTGGCTGCACTCACTGTATGAACTTAGTATTTCTCACTCTCCATGTCCTAACCAAGGGATATCTGCTGCTCAGGGCTGTTCTTGAGGATTTAATGGGCTAATAATATGAAAGCATTTAACACAGGGTCTGTTGTACAGTAAGTCCTCAATGAATGCTGCTAATTATTGTTATCCTCATCCCGTTTTGTTTTTTTTCCCCCTTCCCTGAGACAGGGTTTCCCTCTGTCGCCCAAGCTGGAATGCAGTGGTGTGATCTCAGCTCACTGCAGCCTCTGCCTCCCAGGTTCAAGAGATCCTCATGCCTCAGACTCCCAAATAGCTGGGACTAAAGTCATGCATCACCATGCCTGGCTAATTTTTTTATTCTTTTTGTATTTTTGGTAGAGACTGGGTTTTGCCTGTTGCTGGTCTCAAAGTCCTGAGTTCAAGCAACCTGCCTGCTTTGGCTTCCCAAAGGGATTTTAGGCATGAGCCATTGTACCCAGCCTGCTATCCTCATTTTACAAATGCCCCTCCTTTGGAACTTTTTTTTTTTGAGACGGAGTCTTGCTCTGTCCCCCAGGCTGGAGTGCAGTGGCGCGATCTCGGCTCACTGCAAGCTCCGCCTCCTGGGTTTACGCCATTCTCCTGCCTCAGCCTCCCACGTAGCTGGGACTACAGGCGCCTGCCACCTCGCCCGGCTAGTTTTTTGTATTTTTAGTAGAGACGGGGTTTCACCGTGTTAGCCAGGATGGTCTCGATCTCCTGACCTTGTGATCCGCCCGCCTCGGCCTCCCAAAGTGCTGGGATTCCAGGCTTGAGCCACCGCGCCCGGCGGAACTTTTTTTTTTTTTTGAGATGGAGTCTCGCTCTGTTGCCCAGGCTGGAGTGCAATGACTCAATTTTGGCTCACTGCAATATCCTCCTCCCAGGTTCAAGCGATCCTCCTGCCTCAGCCTCCTAAGTAGCTGGGATTACAAGTGTGTACCACCATGCCTGGCTAATTTTTGTATTTTTAGTAGAGATGGGGTTTTACCATGTTGGTCAGGCTGGTCTTGAACTCCTGACCTCGTGATCTGCCTGCCTCGGCCTCCCAAAGTGTTAGGATTACAGGCGTAAGCCACCATGCCTGGCCTTGTTTTTTTATTTTTAAAACAGGGTCTCACTCTGTCACTCACCCAGGCTGGAGTGTAGTGGCATGATCTCTGCTCATTGCAACCTCCACCTTCTGGGTTCAAGCGAACTCCTGACCAGAAGTGATCCACCCGCCTTGGCCTCCCAAAGTGGTGAGATTACAGGTGTGAGCCACCACGCCCAACCTCCTTTGGAGCTTCTTGAGAACTTTTAGCACTTGCTTTCTCTCTTGGGCACCTCTCCCAAGACTAGTCGTGGGACAGGTTTTAATTTCCTCAACTTCCTGCCTGGCTTCCCCAAAGAATAAGCCTGCAGACCCTTTTAAATTATTTTATTGCTGATCACCACAAACACCCAATTAGAGGATAATAAAAATATCACAAGGCAGTTCTATTCTCGTGGACCCCAGTGGATCATTCCTGAATTTCTTGCCACCAGGCAGGACCCTGCAGTCTCCTAATGGATGTGGAATGTTAAGCTAAGTTGCTTAGAAGGCTGGATCATTCAGCTGGCTCTGCTGTTAGCTCTGAAGCTGCCTCCCAGTATTCTCCCTAAGATGAGCTCACCCACCCTGGAGAGGGCCAGCTACACACAGATGCCACCAAGCAAAGCACAAATAATGAGATAGGATGTGCCCACCAGACACTTCCTTCCGGTAATTCCAGAAACCCAAGATCTCCAAGAGGAGATCTTTCCACTGGAAAAAAAGACCCTGGGGGTGCTCTTTCCTGTCTGCACAAGGGGACAGCCACAAAGAGTAGCAGTCTTGGGTGCCTGGGCAAGGAGGTGGGAAAAGTCATTCTGGGGCCCTAGCCCCTGTAGGCTCTCAGGCCAGGAGATGGGTACCTGAAACCTCTTCATGTCCATGACTCGTTCCAGCGAGACAGAGCAGTCTGTCCAGTACAGAGTCCACTCTTCATCCTCCCCCACCTCCTTCAGGCCACACGTTTGGGCTGCCCGACGCACTGCAGAGACAGGGAGATCAGTGGTGCCAGCATGGACACCAGCAACTAGCCCTGGAACTGTGTAGCTGGGTCAGGTAAGGTATACACCTGACCTGAGGGCAGGTTGAAGAGGGAGGTAGTTCTCGCCTCAGCCCCGTACTTTAGTTACCACATGGCAATTTCAAGTTCTTAGGGGCTGTTAGGGCCCTTCCAAAATACCTAGCAGAGAAAACTAGAACCTGGTTTTGTTTGTTTGTTTTTTTGAGACAGAGTTTCTCCCTTGTTGCCCCGGCTGGAGTGCAATGGCGCGGTCTCTGCTCACTGCAACCTCCTCCCAGGTTCAAGCGATTCTCATGCTTCAGCCTCCCCAATAGCTGGGACTACAGGAGCCCACTAACACGCCTGGGAAATTTTTGTATTTTTAGTAGAGATGGGGTTTCACCATGTTGGCCAGGCTGGTCTTGAACTCCTGACCTCTGGAGATTCGCCTGCCTTGGTATCCCAAAGTGTTGGGATTACAGGAGTAGGCCACCGTGCCCGGCTGCTTCTGTCAGTCTTATCCCTCAATCAGGGATGTTTGTGGCTTGGAGAGCCGCCTATAGGTAGGGGCCACACTGGCACTTCATACTCCACACTTGGGTGGCTCCTTATAAAGATGCCAGAGGGAATATTAGGGGAAGGACCTAGCTGGAGATTTTCTTTTTTTCTTAATTGTTGAAGTCCCTTCAAATCTTCCTTGAAAAAGCTTTTAAGCTTGTCTCATCACTGGTAAAATCTGGGAAGGGTCTGGCATGGTGGCTCCTGCCTGTTATGCCAGGTCTTTGAGAAGCTGAAGTTGGAGGATCACTTGAGCCCAGGAGTTCAAGACCAGCCTGGGCAACATAGCAAGATTCTGTCTCTACAAAACATGTAAAAATAAGAATTAGCTGAGCATAGTGGCACATGCCTGTAATCCCAGCTACTTGGGAGGCTGAGGCAGGAAAATCACTTGAACCTGGGAGGTGGAGGTTGCAGTGAGCCGAGATCACACCATAGCATTCCAGCCTGGGCAACAAGAGTGAAACTTGGTCTCAAAAATAAATAAATAAATAAATAAATAAATAAATAAATAAATAAATAAAAAGAATTAGCTGAGCATAGTGGTGCAGGCCTGTAGGCCCAGCTAGTGGGAAGCTCAGGTAGGAAGATGGCTTTGAGCTCAGGAGTTCAAAGCTGCATTAAGCTATGATTGCAATACTGCACTCCAGCCTGGATTGCAAAGCAAGACTCTGTCTCAAAAATAAATAAATAGAATCTGGGAAGGGTGGGCAGTGGTGAGTGGTGGCTCTTGGACTTTTTTTTTTTTTTTCTTGTTTACTGTGAAGATACCCTCCCTAACACTGAGACTGCCTGGAACAGCAATGTCTCAGCTGCCAGTGTCTGAGGCAGAGGACACCTAGGAAGCTCAGTACAGGTTATAGGCAAGCCTGCCAGGCCCCAGGGGCTGGAAGCCTGATCGGGGGTCTATTCCAGAGGAAGGGCAGCAGCTGTAGGCACCCTGTTATGCACCATAGTGTGAGCGACGGGCTGGGTGCTTACCACTCTCATACTTGCAGTTGGTCAGGTTGATGGCCAGGGATCTAGAATGGAGGAATAGCATAAATCAGGCAGAGTGGGAGGGAAGGACAGGCACCCAGACGAAGAGACATCCAACAAATTAACAACACAATTCCTTTTCTCTAGAAGCGGCTTAAAAGAAAGACCAGGACGATGTAAACAGGCTGGGATTCCAAAATGAATCAGCCTAAATAGTTCTGAATTTTGTTTGTGTTGTATCAAAGCGTTAATGATGCTCCAGCATTTCCTGTCCTCTTTTGTAGGCTAAAGGGAAAATCTTAGATCCCAGCTCCCCCAAATGTTGAAGGGAGGCCAATGGGTGACTCCCTGGAGCTGGGCAGTTGAGGGGATCTAGGGAATAGTTACCTGCGTTTCCGCCTTCTCTTCCTCCTCCCAGCTTCTAAGTCGCCTGTGTCAGCTGAGGCTATGACTTTCTTCGGAATTTTTGTGGCTATAATGGGTGGGGGAACCCCATTTTTTAATGCCTTATAGTCAGCTTTTAAGAGAGCCTGCTGTGAAGAGTTAGAGGGGATGGTAGCTTCCTCTTTAACACATTTCTCAGATTCCTTTTTCTCAACATAGTCTTCCTCTGATTCGCTGGTCCTACAGGTACTCGGCTCCATTCTCTCAGATTCTGAAGGGTTGGGAGGTGGGAATGAAGTGTATATCAGACCTCCCTCAGGCCCTAGAAGGCCTGAAGGAATCCACCAGAACGACCTTCATGCTGTTTTAAAGGAATGTTGCTGCCCCTTCAGGACAAAACAGTTTCACTGAGGAATGGGATGTGTCCAGGTAGGTGGAGGTGCATGGGAGTGGAAGATACCAGTGAGATGTGGATTCCCTGATGACAAGCCCCAATCATCCAGGATCACACTGGATCATGCAATGCACAGGGGTGCCTTCAGTAGTTGGACACAGATGGTACGGGCCATGACCATGGCTCTTTTGTACCTGATTGGGAAGGAGGATGGCTGGGAGTGCTGGGGGGACCTTCCCTTTAAAATACAGCTGAATCGGCCACGCGCGGTGGCTCACGCCTGTAATCCCAGCACTTTGGTAGGCCGAGGTGGGTGGATCACGAGGTCAGGAGATGGAGACCATCCTGGCTAGCACGGTGAAACCCCGTCTCTACTAAAAATGCAAAAAATTAGCTGGGTGTGGTGGCACGTGCCTGTAGTCCCAGCTACTCGGGAGGGTGAGGCAGGAGAATAGCTTGAACCCGGGAAGCAGAGGTTGCAGTGAGCTGAGATCGCACCACTGCACTCCAGCCTGGGCAACAGAGAGAGACCCCATCTCAAAAAATACAATACAATACAATACAATACAATACAGAGCGAGACCCCATCTCAAAAAATTACAATACAATACAATACAATACAATTACAATACAATACAATACAATACAATACAATACAATACAGCTGAAGGCCAGGTGCAGTAGGTCATGCCTGTAATCCCAGCACGTTGGGAAGCTGAGGCGGGTAGATCACTTGAGGTCAGGAGTTGGAGACCAGCCTGATCAACATGGCGAAACCCCTTCTCTCCTAAAAATACAAAAATTAGCTGGGCGTGGTGGTGTGTTGCCTGTAGTCCCAGCTACTTGGGAGGCTGAGGCAACAGAATCACTTGAATTTGGCAGGTGGAGGTTGCAGTGAGCCGAAATCACACCACTGCACTCCAGCCTGGGCGACAGAGCAAGAGTCTTTAAATAAATAAATAGATAAAATAAAATACAGCTGAAGACCAAAAGCCCCCTATGCTGGCCCTTTCCCTGTCCCAGGACTCATTTTCTGCACGTGTACACATTAGGGACAGGCACCCGATGGCTAAGACCCTTTGGGCTGTGACAGTGGAGACTGCCCACCCATGGTTCCGAGGAGAGCTGAGGGACTGCTCGGTCCGCCCCTAGCGGCCTGGGGCTGCACTCAGCTGGCCGCTCATGTCCCCTCTTCCCCCGGCTCCAGTTCTCCCTGGGCGTTTCTGGGCGTCCGGAACCGCCTCCTCGTTTCACAGGACTGGCTGTCCCCACGATCGCGAGGGGGAACCTCCTCCCCCGCAGGGGTTCACTCCTAGCTCCTGGCGGCCGTGGCGGCGGCAGCAGGGGCAGCGCTTCCTTAAGCAAGCCTGTGGCCACCGCCGTTGCCATGGACACGAGGGCACCTCCCATTGGAGAAGCGTTCTGGGGGCGGGGCCTCCCCGCAGCCACACCTATTTGGGCGCCGGCAGAGGCCACCTTGGGCGGGGCGGGGGTAACAGCATTTGCCCTTTGGAGCTGGCCAGCCCCGAGGCCAGATTCCTCCGGTGCATCATGGGACTTGCAGCCCTCCTGCTTCGAAGCCAGTTCTCACCGCACTCCCATCTTTCCCTAAACCCCGGGCCAAGGAATTTGGCCAAGCATATGATCAGGACAAAGAGCTGTTTGCCTTCCCTCAATTCTTTTTTTTCTTTTTCTTTTCTTTCTTTTTTTTTTTTTTTTTTTTTGAGATGGGGTCTTGCTGTGTCACCCAGGCTGGAGTGCAGTGGAATGCACCATCATAGCTCACTGCAGCCTGGACCTCCTGGGCTCAAGCAATCCTCCTGCCTCAGCCTCCCCAGTAGCTGTGACTACAGGAGCGAGTCACCACACCGGGCTCAATTCTTTAATAACTCTAAGTTTAGCTAGTACAGCCTATGCATTCAAGAGTGACAGCCGGCCGGGCGCGGTGGCTCAAGCCTGTAATCCCAGCACTTTGGGAGGCCGAGACGGGCAGATCACGAGGTCAGGAGATCAAGACCATCCTGGCTAACACGGTGAAACCCCGTCTCTACTAAAAAATACAAAAAACTAGCCGGGCGAGGTGGCGGGTGCCTGTAGTCCCAGCTGCTCAGGAGGCTGAGGCAAGAGAATGGCGTAAATCCGGGAGGCGGAGCTTGCAGTGCACTCCAGCCTGGGCGACAGAGCGAGATTCCCGTCTCAAAAAAAAGAAAAAAAAAAAAAAGAGTGACAGCCATCTAAGGCCATGTGCCTTTCAAGGCTTTCCCTCTGGTGGACTGAGATAGCTCCATTAAGGAATAACAAAACCTCCTTATCACAGTGCTCCTTCACTGCCACCTTCTCTTCCTGACATCCACCCACTTTGATTTCTGCTCGCCACCTCCACCCAACTCAGCTCAACTTGTCACCCTAAAATTATACTGTGTGGCTAAATCTAGAGAACACTTAAAAATACATGAACTTTTAAAAAATTATTATTTTATTTTTTTGAGACAGAGTCTTGCTTTGTAGCCCAGGCTGGAGTGCAGTGGTGTGATCGCAGCTCACTGCAACTTTACTTAGCCTCCCAGGCTCAAGCAGTCCTCCCACTTCAGCCTCCCAAGTAGCTGGGGCTACAGGTGCGCACCACCATGCCCGGCTAATTTTTGTATTTTTTGTAGAGACGGGGTTTTGCCATGTTGGCCAGGCTGATCTTGAACTCCTGGCCTCAAGTGACCTGCCCACTTTGGCTTCTCAAAGTGGTGGGATTACAGGCATGAACCACTGCGCCCAGCCTAAAAAGGCATGGACATTCTCTAATTCATAGACTTTGTTTTTGTTATTGTCTATCAAGATAAACTATTTCTTTGCCCACATATTCATGTTTCATAGTTCAGGAACATAGGTTAATGATAAACTTCTATGTAATTCAACCCAAAGAAATTGTTTATATTCCAAAATCACTTTGAACTTTGAAAGATACCACCCTTCCTCATCTCCTCAAAATATTTCATAGCATCAGCCAGGCTGGGTGGCTGGCCCTGTAGTCCCAGCTACTAGGAAGGCTGAGGTGGGAGGATCTCTTGAGCATGGGAGTTAAGAGGATGCAGTGAGCTATGATTATGCCACTGCACTCCAGCTTGGGTGACAGAGTGAGAACTCGTATTTAAAAAAACAAATATCTGGCCAGGTGCAGTGGCTCATGCCTGTAATCCCAGCACTTTGGGAGGCTGAGGCAGGTGGATCACGAGGTCAGGAGTTCGAGACCAGCCTGGCCAATATGGTGAAACCCCGTCTCTACTAAAAATATAAAAATTAGCTGGGTGTGGTGGTGCGCGCCTGTAGTCCCAGCTATTCAGGAAGCCGAGGCAGGAGAATCGCTTGAACCCGGGACGCAGAGGTTGCAGTGAGCTGAGGTTGTGCCACTGCACTCCAGCCTGGATGACAGAGCAAGACTCTGTCTCAAAAGAAGAAAAAAAAAAAGGAAAGAAAGAAAGAAATGGTCCTCCTGGAAATGTTCTGCAGTCCCTTGACTTCCAGGACACTCATTGCATGAACAAACAATTTAGTGTTCTAGGGACTGTTCTAGGATCTGGACCATCATTTCTTGCCTGAATTGCCACCATTCAGCAATTTTTTTTTTTTTTTTTTTTTGAGACAGTCTCACTCTTGTCACCCAGGCTGGAGTGCAATGGTTCGTGCTTGGCTCACTGCAACCTCCGCCTCCAGGTTCAAGCGATTCTCCTGCCCCAGCCTCCTAAGTAGCTGGGATTACAGGTGTCTGCCACCATGCCTGGCTAATATTTGTATTTTTAGTAGAGACGGGGTTTCACCATGTTGGCCAGGCTGGTCTCGAACTCCTGACTTCAAGTGATTCTCCTGCCTTGGCTTCCCAAAATGCTAGGATTATAGGTGTGAGTGACTATGCCCGGCCAACCCAAGACTTCTTTTACTTGCTGTATAACAGTTAAGGGAGCTAAAAGGAAAATGGGATTTCACACCCACATACTCTCTTAGAATAGTGTCTACTGACTGGTTCCTCTGGAACCAGTGTGGAAATCTCTGGAGTAACAGGGCAGAATAAAGCAATGAGATAAAGAAAAAATTTCCCACATTGACTCAGATGCAGACAGAGGAACAACGACTTAGCTCTAGATTTTGTGTCTACATCAAGAGGAGCTTCTAAAGTGCTTGGGAAAGACCCCGAGAGGGATGGCTGGGGCTCAGGAAGGGCAAACTGTTAAGGACAGCACTACCTACCATGGGAACCAGTGACTGGAGAGGCGGTCACAAGCACACATTGTCCCAGCTCATCTTCTGGTACCTGTCTGTGCTGCAGTCCCGACTCCAGCTGTCTGACTTTGAACAAATTACAAACTGTCAGTCTCCATCCCCTTTTTTGAATGGGGGTATTAAGACGACTCAGGCCGAATCGCTTGAACCTGGGAGGGACAGGTTGCAGTGAGCTGAGATCGCGCCAC